TCTTCCTGTGGCGAGACTAATCCGCAACCAAGCGTCCCCAAATAGATGCCATGAGGCACGCTGGCTAATACGTTACAGTATATCGACGTCTTCCACGATGTTCAGAGCGCATCAGCCAATCGAAAGCGATCACAGGTAATCAAGTAATTCATGCAGAATCTCTCTTCGCAGGAGTCTTTCTCACGGCCCCAGCACTCCCTGCCGAAGCACGTCCACGAAAGGGCAATAAATCACTTGAAAGACTTCTAGAAAACGCGTAGAGCCTCTCCACGCGCACTGACCGTCACCCGTCAGCGCCCCGTCCACCAGAGATGTGTCATTAGAGCAGCGCCCTTTCTCCCCGACGCAACGTTGGCTCTATTCACACCCCATCGCCGACACCTGCCAGATGATTACAAACGCCTCTCAAATGAGCATCTCTCCACGAGTACATTACTTACCATCTGACCGACAAACACATCCGCTTGCGGGCGCTGCTGCCCCCGCCTTTCTCTCAAACGGCGTGCCACTCCGCGGTTCCGTGAGAACCGAATACAAATACAAAAAATGCCACGTGACGCTTCTGTCCCCGAGCCCAAAGGAACCAACAAATATATCGCAAATATCGCGGGCATTATTGTACGCTAGCTGTCATTGTCACGTGACCTCCTCCCTGCATTCCAAAATCATTCGCTACTTTAAAGTCGGTAACTTGGTTCCCACGCGACAGAAGTGACCAACACAGTCAAACAGCACCAACCAAGTGTCAAACAGCACCGACAACAACATTTCGGACTAGTACAACTAACAGTCAGCAGACGTAAATTTTCACAAACAGGCATCAGCCTACAACTGTGCTCTACAAAGTCGTAACTGGATTTTGCTGTCATCTGTTAACAACAACTGACGAGTGCATCAATACCCGCTCCAGGCAGACAGCCAGCTAGCGAGTCGGCTGCTTCCATATCGCCATCAATCAACCAGCGCGGCCAACGGGCGGCTGCTTGTAAATTTGGGCCACGCAGGGCCATCAGCCGTCAATCTCGCCGAATCTATGAGACTACACAACCTGCCGGCAGCTCAATTCTCTGCCGCGTCCGTGCCCGTTGTGAGATCAAGTCCGCTAGCCGAGTGATCTGGAGCCAACCTCAGCTCTCTCGGCGCCCATACACACTGAGCCGTCTGATTAGGATTGATAGTGGCAACAAACTATACTAATATTGTTCTTTAATTTTATCCTAGTTTATAGTAGTGTGGTAAATAAAACTACGTTAGTCTTATTTTCTGCACACTCTGTATTTTCGAGATTTGCAAACAAAAATAACATTGCAAACATCATGTGTAATTGCTTTAAAATATGAGTAGTTTGTTTTAATTTTATATTCTTGAAATTACATATTTGAATTTCCCGTGCTTCGTTTGATGTTAGTGTGAAATTTTTATCTGAGATCTTAGTGTGAAATTCTTCGTCGGACGCACATTGAATCATTAAGATACTTTTATTTATTTATATATTATTTTTTACATCAAAAACAGTTAAAACCTGTGTGCTGTAATATGGGGAGAAATGAATTCTGTAAACGTTTTATTAAATTCTGGGGTCCCTACCCTACCCCATATATATGTTGAATTCTGAATACAGATAGAAACAAACGTTTGTTCTTGGACTGGTAATGAGAATTTGGGGAAATTTTCTTAGATATGGACACGTATGGAGAGCATTTACGTCCAAAGAGCATTTAGAGAGCTTTAAGCAAACATGTTCAGACAAGGAATTACGTGTGATTACGCATATTTGGTAAATATTGCATTACTGTAGTATTTAATAATTTCTATTATATATATTTTTTGATTTATTCCCATTTGTTTGCCAATTCTATCAGTATTATTGTGTTGTGAAATGAACATGCTAACCTTCCATTGTTGCTTTAAACCAGCGCTGGCAATAACGCGCAGTAGCATTAGCCGCTTCCGCCACCGCCTCCACCGCTGTATAATTTATTAACTTTCAATTATTTTCCTTTCCACCATACTGCTTACACAGGATATTGTAAGGTTAAAATACGCATGGTATATTTTCTTGAATACACCGAATGCCTTATTCACTGAATTCAATGCTAGAAATACATTTTCATTTAATCTTCAGCATACCAAGGGGGTACATGTGTACACCAATCTGTTTTTTCTTGTTGTGTTCGTTCAGCTTATTAAGTGGTATTGAACTTTCTGTACATTGTCAGAAATACTTCAATTGACAATGACATATTAAATAATGTAATAGTTTTAAAGTGTTTCCGCTCAGGCCTGGAGCTCTATTGTTTGCGACAGGGGCGCGCCTCGGGCGACTCACTGGGAAATACGCCGACGCTTCCAGCACGGCAAATCAACGCTGCCATTTCCAACAATTCGGGTGACGTCGAAATTTCAACCGAAGTTTGCGAAACCCAAACGGTTGCCGATGACACCGCGATTGGGCAGAAAAAACCACGTGATGTCGGCCATGTGACCCCGCACACCAAGGGAGGTCCCCGAAGCTCTCAAGTTCGGTCATTCTGACATAGGAGGTGAGGGTGAGAGGTTCACATTCTGATGAGGGAGGCGAGAGCGAGCAGTTGTTTCTGATGAGGTAGGAGAGTGAATAGTTTATTCTGATGTAGGAGGCAAGAGTAAATAGTACATTCGATGTGGGAGGCGAGTGCCAGGAAAGTTTCCTTTGTCTTTGGGGGACGCCACTGAACGCGTTACCATTCGCTGCCGAACGCCGCGACGCACGCCGCTAAAGGGAATCACCGCGCATCGCGAGATACCACACCGGACCCCCACGCCGCCGCCGTCCGAACGCCTCACTGCAACATCTCGGACCGCTCCGATGTCGCTCGGACCTGGGCAAACACCGGGCAATGACTCTGTAAGTGCCCGAACTCGAGCTCAGGACTCACGACGGGCCGAGGCGCAACCAATGCTGCCGCGAGCCACACGTCTGCACGACGGATCAGGCGTTGCTAGCGCCCGGGACGCCACCTGCTGTCCTGACCGCCTCGCGAAGGGGCGAGGAAGAGGCAAAACCCACCCTACAACCCACAGCGCAAAGCCAGAGGAAAGGACCGCTGCTTGCGTCACCGGAGTCATGGACGCCGGGAAGGGCGCTGTCCTGACTGAAAGGGCGAACTCTGACCTGAATGGCCATAAGTAAGATAACTTAGTTTAAGTTAGTTTTAAGAAATACCTGTTTATAACGATAGGCTTTATCTAGAATGGAGTTGATATTAAATCCACTTAAAAATACAGCCATTTGTTTAATGCATTATGAGAATTAGAAAAAGCCCTATCACGCATGAATCCTAGAAGAGTCTATAGACTGAGCAGCCGGGGCAACGCTGGATCGGGGACCGGCGTGCTTACAAATGACAAGGCAACTTACAAAAATAAAATGTAAAAAAAGAAAATTTTTATTGGACCTGTGCCAAGAGCTAATCAAAACTTAGGTTGAGAGACGGAAAAAACATAAGCATTGACTGAAAATATAAAACGGACAGGAAAGAAATTGTTCGGAGAGGGAGCAGAGAGCTCTGTACTTCCTGAATCGTCTTTTTCATCCCCAGTTGGAAAACACGCGAGAAAGAAGCGGCAGAAAGACGAGAACAAAATTATTAAGTGTTATTCATATTTACACTACTGAGACAAAAGTATTGTAACGAATATTGCATCACCTGCAAGCCACACGCGTGGATTGCGTCATCTGCCGGCGCCCCCCTTCCCCCGAACTGGACGGTTCCGGACTATTCGCGAGTCACGGGGAAACGTGGAAAATGTGCCGGGTGTATCGAGACGAGTGCCGACCAGGTATAAATGCACTGCTGCCGGCGGCTGCGAGTGAGTCAGTAGCAGTCACTCAGTAAGAAGTTAGTAAGAAGTAGCAGTCAAGTCAGTCAGTAATCTGTGTTAGTGTAAGTCGGTGTATGTCAGTGGATAAGCAGTCGGTCCATCAGTGTGTTTGAAGTCGAATCTATGCTGTAAAGTGTGCATTGCGGTGAACAGTGGTACACCGGGGGAACAGCAGTCAGCAGTTTGAAGTCTGCAGTGGAAGCTGAGATGTGAAGTGTGCATCGCGGTAAACATCAGTGCAGTGGATCATGGTGTGCGCAGTGAATTGTTTTCTGCGCAGGGCATTGTGGTCAGCGCAGTGGACCGTGGGCAGTGCTTTGGACTGTGATAGTGTAGAAGAAGTGAACTGTGTAAATAAATAATCAAGAGAACGGAGTCGTGTGTAAGAAAAAAGGAAGTGAAGAACACAAGAACTGTGTAATATATGTGTATATAGATCAAGTAGTTTTTAGTGTTAGTAGTTTTAGTGTATAATTGTTCACGAATAAACGTTTTGTTTAAATAATCCTTGGGTTCTTGGTTTCAATTCACCGCAGAGAAACGTTACAGTATACATCAATTGACTTTAAACCGGAATGATTTAAAAAGTGGTATTTTGATGAATTGTTTTGGTCTTCTAAAAGAGAAGCACATTAAATAATTTAATTAATTATATTAAATTGTATTCTGTTACATATTGATAAGTAGTTAAAAATATTATTTGGTGATACACGGCAGCTGAGAAGAGCACGCAGCTGGCAAGTGCGAAAAGCTAGTCCAAACCAATTAAATTAGACAAGTAACTAGTACCAGAAAGATTGTGTCATTCTGTAGTACCACTAGTTTTACTTACATTAATATAATTTATATATATGTATATATATAAATTGTATAGTTTTATATATATATATATATATATATATATATATATATATATATATATATATAAAACTTTTAGCTTTCTGCAATCGTTCTCCGTATAAACATTAACTACGCCAAATATCACACTCGTATGCGCAATGTGCTTAAAAGGGGTACAGTGTTTCCTTGACACCTATTAATATACAAATAAAATTTACTCGTCATAATCACGATTGCTTTCAGAGATTTTTTTCAGTTGCCTATTTAGTTAATAAATATCTATGTAAGATACTTACAATTTGCTACAGGATGGAAGTACACATTGGAACTGGCACGCAAACGTGAAAGTCTTTGATCAGGATCTTCACCTAAAAGCCAATATGTCTGCATTTCTCCTTTCCCCTAAAAATATAATTAGTTTCACCCACTATTATTATATAAAATATACAATACATGGAAAGTATGGTTATTTTGGTATAAAATAATGTAACAATGGCCTAAGTGTGCAAAAGCCATACGTGAGAAGATGAAAAGTATTGTGAAAAAGGAACTGGATAGTTTATTTATAAAAAATACATTTGAAACATTAAGAACCAGATGTACAAGGGGTCACTTGAGAGCCAATGGGAAAAGACAGGTTTGAAAAGAGTATTATGAGATTGAATCGGGGAGCTGTCACACTCGTAAAATGTTTGAAAAGAAAACTTACTTCAGACACAAATTTAAGCAAATTCGAGATAATGAAGGGAAGTGATCATAAGTTAAGAGACTTCTCGTACTTTCGTAAAGAGCAGAGGGTATATGTAAAGAGTGAGAAAGTTCTTCTGGAGAGTCTCAGGTTGAGTAGTCCGCATTGACGTCTCGTGAAGTAAACATTGAAGAGAGACGGACGTGACGCATGTTCTTCTATTCAGTCATGCAGTTCGCTTGCACCGAAGAAGAAATATTTGTTGCCGCTTTGTTCCGTGCCGGAGAAATATTTGTTGCCGCTTTGCCAGCCGCTTTGATCCGTGATTTCTCCAATAAACACTAGGTGAATGCCGAAAAAGTTCTCTAACAAAAAGCAACGGATCGTGCACAATATTTCCTTTCATCTGTCCTTGTCCCATCACCTCTCACTTACACATTTACACATTCATGCACTACTCTACCACACATGTCGGTATCATTGGGCTTGGGCGGTGACCTGCTGGTGGGGGATGGGGTAAAACTCTCAAGCTGACTTGTAAGACGGCGTCCGATCTCGCCATCTAGCATGGGAAGAACAACGCCATATCTCGTGACAAAATCATGCGCACGGAACTAATGAGTAGCAGTTGCCACGCTCACAACCACGAAATAATCAATCAATCCACTTGTTCAGGCTGCAAAATATTATTTAGATTATTGAGAGATTATTTGCATTAACGAGAAGTTCTGTGCATCGCCATTGCCTGTTCGAAAATATTCTGAAAAGATGATACATAATTGATCTTGCCGTAAGCATCATTAAGTTATAACGAGGTTGTCGTGGTTACCTTTTCAAAAGAACATCTTAATCTCCAATCCTATTTTCTTCTATTCACGTTATTTAAAATAATATATCTTTTAAATATTGCATATTAATTAAATAATTGCTAATATTATATTCACTGAAAGAATATTATGCAGGGAATAGTATTTATGTTGGACAGACAACATTTGTTATTTTGTATCATTGATCATTTTAAAAACCTTTCAGAAAATGTTTTAACCATTGCAAATATATAGTAAAATATGATATTTAATAATACTTTATTTCGTACATTCCTTTTGTGTTACAAAATATAGCTAGAAAAAATGAATCATTTGCTTCATTTTTCAAGCCCATCTAAATGAAATGCAAATTACTAAATTTAAGAAAAAATATTTAATTGCATGCTGTATCAACAACATATCGATTCACAAAGCAATCGTTTAACTACCTGTAACCGTAATTAACTGTAGCTTTTCCTCTATTCATAAATGTCAAATAAATACTGGCATTATATTGAAAAAGGTAGATTCAATTTACTTTTAAAAAATAAATTAAAAGTGAACATGAATTGAATTAATCTATTACAAAAAGCTTACCTTTTCATGATTAAAATTTTGAATTTCGATTATTGCTAGAACCATTCTGGGTATGACAAAAATCAATCGTACAAAGTAGAGCTTACTTTAATGTACGTGAGTCCACGTTCTTCACACATGTAACCACCTAATCGTTGCAATAAGGAATGCGTTGTCTCAGAGATATGTATTTGGCTTGGTTCTCCAGTTGACTCCATGCGAGATGCAGTATTAACAGTATCTCCAAACAGACAATATCGTGGCATCTTGAGACCCACTACACCTGCTACACAGTGTCCTATACAAATAAAACAAAATGAACTGGTAAAATATTGTCATTTTTATAGTTACTTTCCCATTTCAATAAAAACTTCAATTTCTTTCAAAAAGTTATTTTACAAGAAAAATGTTGATAAGATTCTTACCAAGAGACCATAAGGACAAATAATTCAGTTTAGAATATGAAATTATTTTTCATATTTTTTTAATAACAGGATAATATAGATAATGTTTAATTCACTTAAACTAGAGGTGTTCCAACAGCACTTATCTCTCGCATTAGTTCTAAATTTGCAATTGTCAAAAATTCAAAGTTCTACGTTAACTAAACTTGCGACAATCTTTTCAACATCTGTGTAACAAAAATTTAAAGAAAAATGTTTAGAGTGACTTTTGAGAATTTTGTTTCAAAATGGCCTATTTTCACGCCAAATTACCCAAAACGACTATTTTTTCGAAAAATTTAACATTTTTTTTCAATATCAATTATACCTTATTATTACCTTATATCAATTGGGGAACATGTCTCACTAAGAATGATATATATATATATATATATATATATATATATATATTGTAGTTGCAGTAAGGTGCCCAAAAATTGCACACTTGCAATTATAAAAGAATATGTGATTTCAATTATCATAATATCTTCTCCTCTCTCGTAAGCATCCTTTACGTTTACCGATGATAAATTTTGATCAAAAAATTGTGTGCCATTTTTAGAAAATTTTGAAATTATGTTTGAGGTTTCATGTAAAGTACCTTCAAAAAACAAAATATCCGTTTGTAACTCCCAAACCTAGAGTTCACTCAGATATATTGGGGAATATTAATTGGTTAACAGTTTAGGCGCTAGCGGTTGCCACAGCCGGACGTTTTGCCGTCAATCGATTTACCGGTTTCAAGGACCCACAAAACATGGTTTCTGCCTACACCACATGTTAGAGGATTTCCCCCCATATTTAGACACTTAATGTATCAACATTTTCGTTACCAGAGCGGCCCTTTCGAGATTTTATGCCGAAAATTTGCCTTTTTCTTACGTTTTCTTCTTACGAAAGTACTTCGTAAGAAGTAAAGCTAAAAAAATACTGCATGTAAAACTGAGATTTAGTTTAGTCATTGTTGCATATTTGAATACTCTCAAGTAAGGAAAAATCGTGCATACCAGAGTGAATACCTATACGTAATTGCAACGTTTCACCGGGTCTATGTCGAATTTCAAATTGGCACATCTGAGCTTGTAGATGTAATGCCATAGAAGCAACTTCTCCAGCATGTCTATCTCCATTGCGAACCGGAAGACCAGATGCTACCATATATGCATCCCCAATTGTTTCCACTTTATAGACATCGTAATGAGAAATTATGGAGTCACAACAAGTATACAAGTCGTTAAGAAGATCCACCACCTGCAATACGAATAATTTATAAATAAAAAGTACAATTTTTCCTTTGTTGACATCACCCTCTCAAAAATGATACCACATAAATAAATGTAAACTCACAAATAATCATAAAGACATATTAATAAACTCTCTGTACAACGTTTTGAGTGAAGTATGTTCATGAAATACACATTACCGTAATTGTTTTAGAATAATACTTGCACTATAGCTACCTTCAGTGAAACAACCGTTATTATATATCATAACCATCGGTTAATGGGAACTGTGACTAGAATGCAGCCTCTCCTGAGCAACCAAATACGATAAGGTCGAACACGCACTGACACAAATTAACTTTAAATAGTAGATTATACAATCTTTGCTTCACTACTACAAAGTTTGAGTATAAATAGTAGCAACTCTGCCATCACGTCAGATGGGGTTCTTTCAGAACCACTACAATGGAATATGAGAGGAGGAACTGGGGCGAGTAGTAATGACGTTTTACCGAGATCAAGCAGAACTATGAAACAGCTGAGTGCAAAAGCTCCAGAACAGTAAATTCTAAGAGACGAACATCGTGCCACAAGAAATGTGCTACTCATTCTGCACGATGTTCCTGGGTTCAACAAAACTGTAGCTCTTCGAATTTCAACTCACAAACGTACCACAGTGGCATCGTTAAACACTTGCTTATGAATTACAGAAATGGTACGAGAGGGATGGTGAAGACTTTCTTGAAGGGATTGTCACTACGGAAGAAACATGGGCACGGGGTTGTACGAACTACGGTTGAAGTGTCAATTCAATTAATAGAAACAGTCAACTTTGTGCCCAAACAAGTTCACCCAGCGCAAGGTATGTGAATGCGATGTTTATTGTGACATACAATAATGTTGGGAGTTGGCAATAATGTGCCTCACAAGCAGATAGCCGATGCAGCCTATTACTGCAACTTCATGAACAACTTGCTTCTTCTTGCTTTCGCTTTCAGAAGAAATAGACCACTATCTTCTTCATTCAACAAACAAACTTGCGTCTGGTGCTTTTGGTAAGAATTTCCATTATTCTTTTGTTTTTGGAACTTCAAACTCATTCAACTGATATAGGTTCGACTATTACAATCATTTCCCGAAAATGAACGATCAGATTAGGCACAATAAGCTGATACACTGAGGTATCAGGTGCAATGATGTGGCATCTGGTGGCTCAGAGCGAAGTCGCTTGCCTTTCTCACAGGAGGCCCGCGTTCTGTTCCCGTCGAATCCCAAACAATGTCATGTAATTTTTTCAACAAAACCAGTTTGGCTGATTCACAATTCCTGTAAAGTGTCCTAAGCCCTACCTCTATCCTAATTGCTTCCCAATTGTGGCCGCTGAGCAGTAAAGCAGGAACGCGTAGTACGAGGCGCGTACGCGAAGATGCCACTTGGCGGTTCTCTTGACAACTAACTGCAAGAAGAGTGATGGATATTACATGGAAATAATAGATGATTTACTCCCACTCTGATATTATTGGAGGATTACTCCCAAAGCGCAAAGCGTTCAACTCCCCCAAGGGTTAGTATATTGCAATGCGTCCATTGAAGACGCAACAAATTAAAAAAAAAAAGTTACGACGCAAGAGAAGCATAGTACTGTCCGTCTGGACGTCGACAAAGATCGATACGTTGAAAATATATGAGGTGATCCACGCGCGTAGTAGATGGTGATGGAGGTGGAGGAGAGGTGATTACCATGTAGGACAGTAATAAATCTGTGAATAAAGCTTAGTACGACTATTAAAACCGAAGCTTCTACTTTGTATCAACCCTTAATGAGGCCGAGATCAATCACATTTAATTGTATTTTATTTTATTGGTCACATGCGTCTTTAACCCTTGTTAACATGCAACCCTATAAGTTTGTTAAGTGCACTTGTACCTACCAGTAAGTTCAGAAATGTAAAATCTATAACAACGGGTTTTAACATCCTCATTAACCTAAATAAACAACCACATATTCATCGCAAGTCAACATTACAACGAAAAAATTACATGGTAATTTACAAGACATATAGTAATGAAACTCATTATTTTTGGGATATTCATTATTAATTATAATGTTATTAATTGTGCAGTATGAAAAATAAATATTTGGTAAATTAATATAGAATTGTATTGTTGAAATAGATGTATCGCAAGCAATATTCAACAATACTGATATGGTGTCGGAACAACAGAATTCATGTGTTTCATATTGCAGTAATGTAAAATTTCTCCCAAAATTGAGATTTTATGGTGACCGATAAAACGCTGAACATTCGACAAAATGTTACAGCCTCGTCCAAATTAAAAATCTCGGCTCCGCTACGCTCCGCCTCGACTTTTGGCATCGGCAGTAATTACACTCATAACATTTCTATGTATGTTAATAGCTATGATAAAAAGTGTTATGAGAAAGTACCTATAATTAGAGAAAAATATTTTACCATAAACTTTTAATGCCGATTTCCATAATTTTACCTGTAGTTGTTGAAATGTTTTCTCCAAAATGATTTAGAACTTATATTTTATGGCACTTTTTAAATTCAGTGATTAACTATAAATATCTAAATATCTATACCCGAGCAGAGTTGCTAGTCTCCCATCGGGCGCCTCCCCAGGTGGCGGATAGGGGAATGCTCATCAGATATGGCGGGTACTGAGGAAATAAAATACTCAGGGCGGACCAAAACTAAGCGAAGAAAATTCAAGAGGCGTCTGTAGTAATAACCACCGGCAACTTGGTCAGCGTCTGTTCATCCAGACGATGCGGCTGCAACTACTGCTCCAGGAACTAACAATCCTTGGTTCTACTCAACCAGCATCAGTTGGACATCAATCACAGGCAACAATGATTCGTACAATCAAAATCAAAAGTACCCCAGGTGGACGATCCACCCGTCAACAGACCGCAACCAAGCATTAGGATTCTGGGGAGCTTGGACTTGTACGAGAGAGCGAGTCGGAGTGCTCTGGTAAACTTCCACGAAAGAGCCACACATACATTGGCACATTCAACATTCCAACGCTGATTCAACTCGGTAAACTACATAATCTCACAACAGAACTTACCAAACAGAAAATCCAAATTCTCGCCCTACAAGAAACACGCTTCACTGACTTAGAAACAATCGACTACAACAACTACAGGATCTTTAAAAGTAGAAATAAGAAAAAGGTTTGCAAAGGGACACCTCTATTCGGCATGGCCTTTGTTGCAGACAAAAAGGTCGTAGATTCAGTAAAAGACGTGAAACCCATCAATAACCGACTCATGACCATGAGGATCAAACATACGAATAAGAATTACACTTCCATCAATGTTCACGCGCCCACAAATGCAGACGACAAAAAAGAACCCGAAAAGAATGACACAATCTGGGAAAAACTCGGAAATGAAATGTCCAAAATTCCACAAGACGACGTTAAAATTCTCCTCGAAGATTTTAATGCAGAAATTGGCAGAAAATACAGATACAAAAAAAGTAGGCAATTACCCTGCACACAAATTCGCTAATAAAAATGGCACCCGGCTCATCGAATTATGCCAACAGAACAACCTGAAAATTATGTCAACCTCACTACGAAAATCCCCCAAGAAACAGAAAACATGGAACTCCCCCATCCAACAATTAGGAGAATTCCAAATCGACCATGTTGCAATATCTTACTTCTGCCAGAAAGAAATTCACGATGTACAAGTCCGCAAAGGAGCAAAAATAGATTCCGACCATTACCTTTCCCGAATCAAGATCAAATTAACCCCCAAGAGAAAATTCAACAAGAAACCCCCAACGATTCCAAAATTCGACACACACAAAATCCAAGACTCCAAAATTGCTGAAAAATGGGAAGAACAACCCGCAAAAAACTGGGAAAATTTCAAGGACAAAATCATAGAGACTGCCAAATCCTTGATTCCCCTCACCAAAAGACCGAAACATCCCTGGTGGAATCAAGAATGCGAAGTTGCCCTCAATAACAGAAAAAACGCTTTCCAAAATTACAATAGTAACAAATCTGAAAAAACCCACAAGATCTTCCTCCAAGTACGAAAAGAGACATCCAAACTTTAAGACAAATCAAACACATCAATGACCAACTGACGTCGATCGAAGATAACTTTCGAAACAATAACACGCACGACTTCTACAAGGTATTCGCCAACCCAATGATACACACCACATACCTTATGTTTCAGAAAGCAAGATGGAAAATTGGCATTAACGAACAAGGAAAATTGCCGAGAGTTGGCTAAATACTTCTCACAACTTTTGAATTGTCCGAAACTTACAAGGAGATTCCCAAAGAAACAACCTGACCACACAAATGAAGACTTGTCACCACCAAGACGAAGTCCACTCCCACATCAAAAGAATCAAAAACAACAAGGCATCAGGTGAAGATGGAATTACAGCAGAATTGCTCAAAAACCTTGGTCCCAACTCACAGAAATCACACAGATCGTCTAAGAATTCTGGTGAACAAATCCCTGACGATTGAAAAACCGCTCTCATTCACCTACTACATACAAAGGGAGAAAAGTCAGATGTAAACAATTACAGAGGCATTTCCCTCCTTCCAGTTATTTACAAAATTCTCTCGGCCTGTCTTCTGAAACGAACACAAGAACAACTCGAACCAAAATTATCAGATTTTCAAGCAGGATTCAGACCAACCCGATCCTGTCTCGAACAAATCTTCAACCTAAAAACATTAATCAAAATGCGAGCAATTCGAAACAAACCAGTACCATGTACATTAGTCGACTTCAAAAGGGCCTACGACTATCGATCGACCATCACTATTCCAGATCTTAGAAGAAAGAGGACTAGACCAGAAATAACGGAAACTTATCGAGCAAACACTTACAAAAACAAATTCTAAAGTGAAATTCATGTGAGAAATCTCAGAACCCTTCGAAATTCGGACAGGCGTGAGACAAGGAGATGGCCTCTCTCCTCTCCTGTTCAACCTAGTCTTGGACAAAGTAATGGAAGAATGGGAAAAAGAACTTCAAAGACGAGATGCTTGGAAACCTATCACACTCGGCATACCCAAAAATAATCTCTGCATACCCTGCATTTGCCGACGATATAGCGATACTGTCTGAAAACCAAGAGACAACTATCAAACAATTAGAAACACTCAAAGAATGTGCAGAAAGGGTAGGATTACAGATCTCTGTCGAGAAAACTCAAGTCCTATCCCACAAAGGTGACAACATGCACACAAGGTATGGAACGGTCAAAAGGGTACCACATTTGGAATACCTGGGTGAGTTCATCAAACCAACCGGATCCGAAAGAATTTCACAACAAACCCGCCTCCAGAAAATCAAGAAAGGATTCGGACTAATCCAAAACCTGTACAACAAAAAATGCATGTCTAAGAAAACCAAAATTCGACATTACAATACTGTCATCAAACCGGCAGCTCTTTACGCCAGCGAAACACTCACGCTCAGCAAGAAATATGAACTGGAAGAAATCAAAAAAGAAGAAAGAAAAATCATTAGAAAAATATTCGGTGCGAGACTCACTCCCGATGGATACAGATTACAATCTATTGAGACAACTGAAAAGTACTCGAAAAAAGAAGTCGACATCAGGAAAAGATTGAAATTCTTCGGACACATAGACAGGCTACCCAATACTCGTCTAACTAAAAGAATACTAAACTATGTATCCTCACTTAAAAGTACAACACCATGGAAGAAATAAATAAAAAAAGACATACGACACGCCGACATAACTGACACCTCAGATAAAAACACCTTCCGCAACAAAGTGAACAAATGGGAAGTCAAACCAGAACAACCTAAATCAAAACCCTACCGACCGAAATGATCTGAAAAAAGAAAACTGGCATTCTCCAACAGAATGAAAGAATATTGGAAAATTAAGAAGAACTCCACAAAAACTAATTAGAACTCCACAAAAACGAGTCAATTTTTGCTTAACGTTTTCCATTATTGGGAAAATACGCTTATAATAATAATAATAATAATAATAATAATAATAATAATAATAATAATAAATATCTATACCAATTGTCCTTCAAAATAGTTTACTGTATTACCTGCCATGGTGTACTCACTGCTGACAATTCTGTAAATCCAACAATGTCACTGAAAAATATGGTGACACACTCAAAACTCTCTGCTTTTACTGGATCCCCTCGTTTCAGAGATTCAGCAACCGTTCTAAATAGAGAAAATAAATACCATAAATTCAAATATATAGTTATTATCCTACAACATTTTGTTCTCTAAGATTTTGAATTGCATGCTAATGTTTTCTAATCGGACTTAGCGAATATATAGAGCGTATTAATTTCAATAAAAATCTTAATTTGACGAGATTTAATATTACCTACTGAGTTTGAATTATTTGTTGGAAGAGTATTTTACCACCACATACTTGGGCAACATACGGTGCAGCAAAGCATCAGTTTTCTTCTTTTCTTCAGTGAGTTGGTTCGTTCGTTCTTGAACCAATCCTTCTAAATTGTAGGCGTATTTTTCCATTATTGCAAGCATATTATCAAAAATATTAGGCTTCCTAAAAAACGAGTATTTTTAACATTAATATCAAGTAAGACTTCTAAAATTGTTCAAGGTGGCATTCTTTAACTGTTTCACTTACAAACCCGCCTGCATTTCTTTGAGTTTCACTCTTACGAAACGTATGTCTGGTCGTGTGTCTGGCTCTTCGTCCCAGCAACTCTCGAGGCACCGTCTTACTGATTCTGGAACGCCCAGTTTGCTAGTGTCTGGTCGCATGAGAGGGGCGCCTGGAATGGGATCACGGACACGTGCTGCAATTTCTGTAAAAAATGCAAATAATTAAAGATAAGTTAATGCAAGAAGACTTTTTTTAATCAATGAAAAAAGCAAGTAAATTATGTGAGATTTTGTATGTATAAAATGTGGAGCTCGAATAACACTTTACGAGAATCTATGTAAACAAAACTCTGAGGTCCTCAATGCTTTTAAAATTACTAGTGGTACTTCAGAATGGCACATACTTTCTCGTAGAGTTAGTTTTTTTTAAATTTATTTGATTTGGGCTAACTTTAAGAACTTGCCACATACATTTGCCACCTATCGTCCATTGGCGCCCGAAGTAACAAATTTTACAATTTGTCGGTTTCTTAGTAATAGCATGGAAGTATTACGAATATTATAGAAGAGTAAAACCTTGTTCAGAAATGAAATGAAAACTTCGGAGCCGTTCTAAAAACATAACGTTTAAGCGTTACAGTAAATGCGAAATTAAGCTCTTTTGGACACAAATCTTTTATGTTTTCGAAAATACTTCATACGAAGTCATTTACAGCACTTTAACTTACAAATACAATAATGTATACAAATCGCTGGAAATATACATATCAAAGACATGAGAGATCTTTCAAAAAATACATTATATCGTGAACAGTGAAATTAGCACCATCCGTACGATAAGGCTCAAGAAACATTGGGAGCAGTTTTTGCAAAACTGACGTTTAAGAGGGTCTTAAAATGCAAAGTTTTAAGCTCATTTTCACAGAAAACTTTTGAACTGTTAGAAACTTTATTAGACATAATTTAAAACACATGTACACATAATTGCAATAATGTGAAAATACTGCCGCTTATTTAATGAAGTTGTAATTTTAATTTTGTTTAATAAGGTCGTAATTAAATATGTCTTTAATGTAAGTGAAATTATTTCCAATTAGTTTATTCTCAATCTGAAAAATGTTCTTCGAAAGAGAGCTTTAAATTGTGCATTTAAAGCAACGCTTAACGACATATTCTTTTAAACGGCTTCAAATTGCTCAACGATATTTTTCATTTAGGACGAGGTTTTACACTTTCATAGTATTATTTAAATCATTTTCGGTTATACCATTAGGAAAGCGAAAATATGAGAAGTCTTTTTTTAAAAATGTGCCTTGGATGGGGGTAGAGGGCATCTGGCAAGATGATTAGGAAAAACTGATAAGTGAGCCCAGACCAAGGAAATTAGAAAACTAAATACTACGAGAAATTCTGTGCCTTTTTGTAACAATACTTAGTTCTCTATTCTTCTTTGTACCAATTTTGAATTGATTTTTTCTAATCGTCGATAAATTTTATTTGAATACAATGTTTGTTTCAGAAGTCTGATACTAAAAATATTAAAGCACTCTAAATAACAAAATATAGGCTTAAACATACTGACCTAATTGTGATGAACCCCAACATTAAATGTGAGCCCTTTGTAGACCCCCAATAGATACTAATTCAATGTTTGCACATAAAAATGGAACTGATGAAACAGTTTGTGGCAGCGTTGGATAATGAATCTACAGCATTCAAGCATCTACATCTGTTCTCAAAAACCTTCCGAAGCAAAAGTTAATGCTCACGTTTTCGTTGGACATCAAATCAAGAAATTATTGAATGCGAAGAGTTTCCCAAGCTTCTCAGAAGAAAGGCGAAAGATGCATGAATTGTGTTAAAGTAGTCAACACAATAAACATATAATGGAGGACTAATTTAGGAAATTTAGGAGCTATTCATGAAAATGATATCACATACTCTCAAAAATCCTGCAAAACTACAAAATCCTAAGTTTCTAGTCATCAGAGTGTATAATTTTGGTTGAAATATATTTTTGTTTTGAATTACGATGTTCTCTTTTTTCTTTAAATAAAGAGAACTCCGACAATTGGTTTCCTAAATGACAGTTCACAAATTCCAACTTCTCATTCGCTTGATTACAAAAGCAAGGTTTTTGCAGGTAAATAAGATTTTTCATGTTTTTATGATATAACTAAGTACAACTTCATATTTATTTTCTAGAAACAAAAATTGTGTTTCACGGTGTTATTGGAGACTCCTGTCAGGCGGAGACCCTACACAAATCATGTCACACGTTCCAATTTCATTGTACTTCCAGACGATGAACTGTTTGAAAGGCACTAATAGAACCAGTCAAAACATCATAATGTTTACTACATTGGGAGAACATAATCATCATGAAACAGCTGTGTTGTAAAATTAGATAAATATACCTTACCGCCCGTTACTTCCGATGAACACAAACTTAACCATACGTTATTATTTAGTTAAATTAAATAAAAAAATAGAACTTAAGGAAGAGTTTTTTTACTTAGGAAAAACCCACGGCGTCACGCGCACGCCCCCCCCCCTCTTGCGACAGCCACTACCCCCCTGACCCACTTCGATAATTTATGGCACCCCGACGGCCGAAGAGAAGGGTGAGTTGTCAGGCGCTCCGCTGCGACCCCGTCCGGAACGTTTTCGCGACGCTTGTCACCGATACCGGGGAAGAACAAAATAATAATTCACTATTAGACAGGAAGCCCCTCCATTGACGTGGCCTACTTTCTAGTCGACAACGGACACGTTCCGAACGACAGAGAAACACAGGACGGAGGGACAGAGAGAGAGCGGAAAATTTCCAGTATCTGCCGGATCTTATTTGCCAAAAGACGACATAACCTTTGGCCAATAGTGACTTGACCGTCAAAGGGAATTCGACCGTGAAAGGAGACAGGGTGGGGGAATGAAAAATCGACCTCGCACTGATGGAGACACAAATGGGGACTTGGCGAGAGACATCTTCGAAGAGAGGAGGGCGCATCTCTGAGGAGAGAGGCGGGCACTCACTTGAAGTTTCTCGAGGAGAGGAAATGCAAAGGCACTTACGGGAGGATTGGCGAATCTTTGCCACTGCTTATTTGCTGTAAAATCCGCACTCACTGAAATTACATTGAGAGGAATCGCAGACGCAGCGGGGAACAATTTTTGTGCTCCGCACCTGTCATCGAGAGCCGATACACCCCAGCCATCTATAAGCTCCGCCGAAGCACCCTCCAGACGACCCTTCGCTGACGTCACTGCCCGCCGCAGACGCCGCCAGCCGCCGCTGACGCCCTGCTGGTGAGGGTGCGTGCACGACCGCATTCCTGGGAAGGCCATCCCGGCCACCCACAAGCTCCGCCGCGCCCGCACGGGCCCACTGCAGCACATCTGCCACGGAAGGTACCCAGGCAACGTAATCATTGCCAATAAACCCTTAGAGACTATTTTCAACGCGGTGCCGCGCTGAGGCACAGAAAAGTCTTCACAAGGACAAACTTGTAATCGTAGTGATAGGATAATTTTTATGTATCACTTCTTCTTTAGTTGTAAGTTCTTTTTAACTTTTTTTATTTATTCACAATATTTCTTATCAATATAACTTCCCTGGTACAGACATTGCTCAAGAATAAATGTTTTTCTTTACCAGTGACCCGATTGTTTTTTTATGTCAATGAATTTATCTTATAGTTCCTTCCATCCCTTAGTGTTAAGAGAGGAAAGGGTAGGAGAACCGACTGAGCTAGGACCGAGCCGCTACCGTGCATTTCCAACGATCCCACGTCGCCGGGACTGCGTGGGGACGTAACAATATCTAGACTAGATTTCAAGACACTTGATAAAGCGATAAGTTTATATTTTAGTAAGTATACATTTGTTAATAGAACGGCTATAAGAACTTCGTCATTAGTAGAACACCGACCCTAATATTTTCAGATTTTTCTAATTGCGAGCGCATAATCTCAAAAACCAGGCTACTTGAGCCCACGCTTACATTAAGGTCAATTATAGCCCCAAACATTTGTTTTTATCTTTTTAACGTGTTAATCGTTTTACTTTGATATTTAAAACTTGAACAATGGTGATTTTCTCTTGTTTCTACAGGAATAGTATATGACTGTTTCATACACTTCACAATGAGCTCGGCAGAAGCAGCCCGCCCCCACCGCGTGCTCCCGCCACTCAGCGGCCACCCGCGCGTTCCCGGAAAGTCTCGCAGTCCCCGATTCAGCCTCGATGGCAAGCAGCCTCCACGTCCTTCCCGGATAGTGCTTTTTGTCACTGCTTTTCGACGCGTTGGGGGTATCAGAGCTCTACTCATGATACGTGGAGATTCTCTTCGATTCACCAT